CGCAATAATTAAGTAAGACTAATAAAAAATTTTTAATTACTTTTTTATCTATACATTATAAGACGATAATAATTGTATTATAATGAAATGTATTAAAACGATTATAACGTATGCGTCACCACTCTTTGAATAATTTTACTGTTCACCCAGGCGTGTTAGAAAAAATTTCAAGAACACATGAATTGTGTCTGATGAGAAATTTCAAAGTGCTCCAAATACCAGTTACTGCTGCGTGACGATCGTGCGAGATATTTTCCATTATACTACTATTATAAAGCTTATATGGGCTACTTTTGTTACATAGTAATGTTATAAAATAATATAAAAAAATGTCTTTGTTAATATTAATATCTGTTCCATTTCGAATTTCAATAATTTATTTAAAACTCTGCAAATAATTATTTATGATTTTATAATGTATTATCTTATCGATAATAAAAAACAGATTGTCACGTTAACATTATCTCACCTGTTTTCTATAACTGCAAAACTGCTGTTTGATCGCAAATTATTGGAAAACCTAATTTTTCGATTAATTTATATTTATATGATGTGTCCATTTTATCGATTAAAGATTAAATTCCGCGTTTATCCAATAAACTTGAAAAATCGGTATCATATTTTAGGCTACGAAATCGCACTGGTTTGCTAGTTCGACTTAATTAATCGCAGAAAAAAGTACATTGTGCATTCCCTGGGATTTTCTACAACACAACAAACGGAAAGCCGTTACGTTATTATCGGAAAATTGCGTAAATAAATTATCCAGTTTATACAATCACACTTCTCTCTCAGCTTGATTTCTCTTTTTTTTATAATAGAATATATAAGATATTTACGTTGTCTTGCAAAATTTCAAATTGCAAAACAAATATTGAGAAATTGTCATTGTTTGATAATATTTAAATGCATATTGCAGAGAATTAAATAAATGCATTTAATTTAATAAAATAAAAGCTTAAATTTTTGAAACGCTTGTATATTAGACAATATTTTACAATATTATTATTATTAGTATAAAGTATTTTATAAATATCCTAAATTTTTTTTCTATATAATAACATAATAAGTAGCCTAATATAACATCTATAAACAATTGCATATTATATATCGCATTATATTGTTATCTAAATGTTATCTGTCAACATGTTATAAAAACATATGAATATAAATCATTAAAATGTTAAAGATATAACAATAAATATAAATGTAAATATAAATTATTAGTCGACTGTCACGTTTCTTTTTTATAATGCAAAAATATTGACATTGTCCATAAGAATGATTTATATCCCGCGAATGCTCTAAGAATCAACAGGTACTTCGAAATGGAATATATATAACGGCATGTACGTTATCCCGCACTCGAACCGCAACTTTTAATATCGTTCACTAATTCGACAATGATAAACGAATCAAGATTGATAAATAATAAAGAAAATAGCGGAAAAGGGAAAAGCAACCGTGAGAGCAAACCTTGGCAATCTGGAAGAGAGCCTGCCTTCGCGGCCTCTGATCCTGCTTCATAGCGGCTGGTTGACTTGCTCCAATTTGCAGGAACAATTTGTTCACCGTTACTTTTTCATGAAAATCCGTGGTGAAACATTCGCAAAATTATCGACAATTCCACCGATAACGAATTGCACTGTACATTACGCACTGAATTGAGAATAGCGAGGGAAACATAAAGCGCGATGCGATCACATACAGGATACTCTCTTAAGCGGGCGTCGATGCAACAATGCCCGAACGGCGCCGGGAGACCTCAACAGCGATGGCAACGCCACACGGGACTCTCGTGAGCAGGTAAGAAAACGAGCGGGGACCGGCGAACGCGGTCGTGGGCCCGCACGTACCTACTATAGTACGATGTATAGTACGCTGTAGTATGATGTTCAGGACCTCACAGGGACGCATCCTTCTCGCGCGCATCGAAAAACCATTCGCGTGAATTTGTTTAAAAATGGTTTCCCGATTTTATTTATTTTTTAGTAAATATACAATATATGTGCAGTTAAAATTTTTTTTTTAACTTGTTCAAATTGCATGACGCCGTATATATTTATGGCCTTGGCTCATCTTCTGGAGATCGTTAATAACATTAAAAACAAAAAATAATTATATTATATTAACTTTCGATTACATTATACGTTTTTCTCCGGAAAGTATATCATAATCATAAAGAGATAAAACATAAATCAATCCTTATATTTTGTCGTTAATATAAATAATATAAATCTGTATATTAACATATTATGTGAGAGACAAAAAAAACAATAAGAAAAGAGTGATAAAAGATAAAGTATCAGTGAGGAATAAATAACAATATTTTAAGCGGATATTATAAATATTATCATCTGGTAAAACTGGTCTAAGAATAGAATCATGAGAATCCGATCCTAACACATTTACAGTGCACACAAGCGTCGGCAAGCATTTTTACTACGAGGTTGCAGCGTGGGTGAGAGGGCCCGGGGTCAGTCGGCCTATTGAGCGAGGGACGAGGAGAGCGTAAGCGGCTTTAGAGTGGAGCGACCAGGTTTCGGTGGAGCGGAAAGGGGAAACAGCGATATATAAAGTGCTGCGGAAGAGGATCGGTACGGGGGAAAAGGAAGGAGAAAAAGTGAAGAGTGGGAATGGCGAATGAGAGAATCGGATGAGGAGAGGGGGTCATGGGACTGACAACGTTTTACGTTACGCTACGCTGCTACGAGAGATCGTTACGCAATTTGATTCGGGAAAGAATGAACGAGCGATTTGGGAACTCTCTCTTTCCCCCTCAAGACTAGTATGTATTTTTAAGTCCGGTGTCCGGTATCCGACATATGAAAGATAATCTAAATAAATTTAGGGGAATACGTTCTCACATAAATACTTCTCTCTAAATACACGATAGGTTACGACTTATTTTATTAATTAAATATGAAAAATTTAATATTTAATTAATTAATAAATATAACAAGTATATATTTCTTTTACATTTTACATTTTACATTTTACGTCTCAAAAATATTTCGTACACGAAAAAAAAAAAGAAAGATGGAGAGAAAGTGTTCTTTTGCCGTAAAAGTATTATCGTCCATTGTAATAACGATTATCGAGATGATTATGAATATTTGTCAAAAATACTGCCTTTTAAATTGCAATGCCGCAGAGAGAGAGAGAGAGAGAGAGAGAGAGCAGCTGTTGGCAGAAGAGCTGCCACGCGCAATAATGGCGCGGCACGAGAATCTGTTTTTGCCGTACAGAACACGTTTACATATGGTCATACCTTCGATAGCAATCGATACACGCGTGCGAATTTTTTCGATTGCCTACACAATACGGCAAGAAAGGCAGGGAGTTATTACCAGTTATTGCAACAGAGTGCGCGTATAGGCCCACGGTAGCGCAATTGCATTGTGCACACAAATATACTTAAACTGAACTTCCCATAAGAAACACTAAATGCGTATGATAACCGCGAGCACGGTGAACACATGACAATATCGCGTGTAAAAGCGTAAAGATCTTTGTACAAATGTATATAGCAGAAATTTGAAAAGTAAAAAAAAATACGAGCCTCTAGTCGAGCCGCAATCGTCGTTATTTATGTCGAAATGTAAGTCGTTCGGCAGCATGCCGAATCTACAGGATCAAAACTGTGGTCTAACTGCTTAAACTGTTTTTACTCATAAATCGATCATGTAGATATGACATCGGTTGATTTCCTTAACACCCACGCGAATTTGATTTGCATGGCGCCGTATTCACTGTTACTTAATAGCCTGTTACTTAATAACTTCCAGCATACACAAAGAAGACAATAGAAACGCCGATAAACGTCGATATTCTTTGTTAATCATACGACATAAATAAATCTATACTATATCTAAGGCTTATATACATTAATTAAAGGCTAATCTTATTTCATAAAATTATTTAGCTGTTTGTTGAGAATTTAATAAAAGATAGAGCAAACTTTTTTATTATAATATAACATTATTATCATAATATCAAACGTCAATGATTTTTTTATAAGAAAAATTTTATAAATGTAAATGAAAAAAGATCTAAAAAATAATAAAATTTCTAATAATAATAATAAATTAATTCCGTGTAGTATAGTATAAAAATAGAAATAGAATCTATAAAAGAGAGCGAGTATATGTGTGCTCATTCTTGCATGAGTATTTTTTGCAAAGTGCAAAATAATATCAATGGAAAGTTACCATAATACAAAATATTGATTTTTTTTTATGTTGGTTCTGTATATATTTATGTGTTGGACGTGCTATTGCTACACTTTAATCAGTTTAAAACGTTCTCAAACATAAAAGGGACTCGAAGGAGCGTTTGAAGATTTCCAGATTCTACTTGTGAACCATGGCGACGAAGAGCTTTCCTTGCGGAAAAACGAAACTCGAAAAAAAAAAAAAAAAATAAAGAAGACCGTGAATCTCATTCCCGATATATATCTTTTGAAAGGACGTTTCTCCAATTTAAACATTTTCAAAACACTATCTTCTGATCTTGGGAAAACATTCTTCATACATATTTTATTATTATTGCTAACTTTTTCCCTGCGTTTTCAAATTTAAAATAATTCAGAATAATATTAAAAAAAAATAATATCTGCAGCAATCAATATTATTGAGAGTTTTTATAATTTCAAAAAAATACTGATTTAATTAATAAGTGTAAAGAAATTTATTCTTTTCTTTCTCTACAAGCAACGAAGATACATTTTGTAGTTTTTCGGATAGAAGCAAAAATACTTTAACTGATTAATACGCATTTCTGTAGAAAATAAAGATATTGTTTCGCAAAGAGGTGATCGGAAAATGTCATTATTAAAATGTCAGCAGTCTATTATTTAAAGATCTTCTTAAATCATCGTGTTTCACATTGGTAAACGGGCCATTCCAAGCATCGCATAAGATTCAATTGTTCGACTCGAGGCACGAAACGACTTCACACTGGACGCGATTTCCCACCGGAAAAATGTTCACGTAGGCGTGAAAGCGCGAGAAAGAAACGTCAGTGAGTTCCTGAAGATCAAATGACTTACCTATTTACCATTGACAATTGATTCAAAATGTCATGTTAAAGAATCTAATTCTAGGGAGTCTAATTCCAGGATATATAGTTATAAAGTATATTTATTAAAGTGCAGTTATGCACTTTTTAGTTATACTAAGACCGATATTTTCATATTCTGCTAAGAATTTTACAAGTACATTTGCTATCTTTTAATGTGCAATGCAAATAATAGCCAGTATGTTGTAACGAATCTTTCTTTTATATAATAATAAATGCCAAACAAATTTTTCTTTTTAATAATAAATTTAAAATCAATCTAAAATTTGAACAATTGCCTTCTACGTGTTAAAAATGTTTTTCGATAAAATTTTGAAAAACGTACTACGAATATACTGCAGGTGCAACGAAACTCCTGCTGCATTCGTACAAGCGACTTAAGGGACGGAAGGGGAAGGAAGGTCTATAAGCCAGTAGAGATACAAAGGCGCAGGTATAAAAGTATTCAAAACTCAACGTGAGGGTCGTCGGAGACTACCTGCTGCATTTTAGGAACCTGAAGACCCGGTGGGCTGTCTAAATAGTCTAAGTTGGGGTGGATCAAGGGTAGCCTCAGGTGCGCGCCAACGATCAGGGAAGCGTAAATATCATCCATCGTATTCGGCGATGTGTGATTTCGTAGTTGACGATCTAACTCGCTACGTCTAAGGATAATTTCTTAACCGAGATGATACGGGCGCAAACGACGAGCTCCAATTGCACTCGAGTATTTAGTTTCGAGTCTGCAACACGAGCGATAGCTCTAGAGAAATCTTAATCTGTCTGGTTATCGTCAGATTACGATAAAAAAATTCTCAGTCGGCGACTAAGGCGCGAAACTTTTCAATCTGTTTGATTCTCATAGTCTCCAAAAATAATGACTATAATTATGATGAATTATTAGGAATAATTATTGACGAGTTGTAAATAAGGAAGATATAAGCTCAACATGCATTTTTAAATTAATTTTTACAATTACATGGAATGACTGATCAAACAAAAAAAAAAACGAATTTATTTTATTTAATAATTAATTTTTCTGGCGAGTCAATTTGTTAAAACAAGCTTTAATGTAGATTATTTGTATGAAAGTATAGATGTAGATAAATTTCGAATTTGACTGATCTTTTCTGGCGATAAATCATGTTACAAAGCGGATAAATGTCAACCTCGAGGCAGATGAGCCACGTATTCTCGATCTTCGTGATCGAGTCACTCGGTGAAAGGAAAGGATTTCACGTGAAACGCGTAGAACGCAGAATGCCATCACAGCGCGGCGCGGCGGTAGACTGTTCATCTTCCACGATTTATGCAACCTCATTGAAGATGATGCTATCCCCGTCGACGATTCGTATTCGTTCCGCCGTCATCTCATTACAGCATCCAGCAAAATCTAGATCGTAAAAGGCGAATCCAAAAGTTGAAACAACAGTCAAAGTGGTCTCGTTGTCGCGTGAAAGATATTTTCCAGTGAAAAAAAAAAAACGATGACGGCATCGTACGTATTATATTTTAAGAAAATTATAGAGAAAAGTATTTTCTAAAGAAATTAGTTCGTAGTTGTTTGTAGTTTGTTTGTAAATTATAATAGAATACTTTAGAAAGCGCTGTAGGCCAAACGCTGGAATTATTCGTTTGAGGATGAGGAATGAAGAGAGAAAATAGATTCAAGAATTAGACTAAAGATAATATTAATTGTAATCAAGCATGTCACGAGAGTAGATTCTTAATTTTGTATTTATATTCCGCGGATAAACATCGCAAGAGAAGGAAGTGCAACAATCTAATCAGTTGCAAGATTACAGTTCATAAATCTTTCAAGATATAAAATGATACGGTTATTTCGCTGAAAATTCTTT